CAAGTAGGACACAGGAAGCATGCGTTGGATCTACGCCTATGCATTTAAGCCATAGCCTATTGCAACCTTTCCTACAATACCAGAAACACATCCTTTCTTCCATGTTCTTTCTAGAATACCTGTAATTTCAAAAAGAAAATATGGAGACAGACTTACAGTTATCTGCTGGAAAGAGTTCTTAAATGTACAGGACATGGGAAAAGATGTCTACCAGGTATGCTGTAAGAAGCCAGCAAGTTGTGGCAGGTCAACCCAGCCAGTGGCAGCTCTACCTGTAGCCAGGTGGGTGGAACAGTAGATGCCACTCCAATATGGAGCTTGTGATGGTTTGTATGTGCTTGGCCCAGAGAGTGGCACTATTTGGAAGTGTGGCCTTATTGGAGTAGGTGTGTCACTGTGGGCATGGGCTTTAGGACTTTACTCCCAGCTGCCTGGAAGTCAGCCTTCTGCTAGCAGCCTTCAGATGAAGATGTAGAACTCTCAGCTCTTCCTGCACCATGCCTGCCTGGATGCTGCCATGCTCCTGCCTTGATGATAATGGACTGAACCTCTGAACCTGTAAGCCAGCCCCAATTAAATGTTGTCCTTATAAGAGTTGCCTTGGTCATGGTGTCTGTTCACAGCAGTAAAACCCTAAGGCAGAGCTAAAGACTCAGCATGCACGGATCCTCTTTGCTGCCTGGATGAAGACATAGGGCACACCCAGAATATGAGCTTGCTATGACTGGCTGACTAGCAGTTGTAAGAAGGTACAAAGTTGGCAGAGAAGTCCTATAACTCATCTGCTATCAACAGAGTAACAGCTCCTGCTGTCTCCTATCACTCTGAATCTCTGCTCTTCAAGGCCCAGCCCAAGTCTCACTCCTCTGAGAGGTCACAGCTTCTCCTACACTTGCAATACATCCTTGCACCTGCATGTGGATTGTTCCATAAGCCACCCCAGGCTTGTGTCTTCTAGCTTTGAGCTCTTGGTGGGTCAGGGTGTTACACAGTCTGAATGCTCCATAGAGAGGTATGGAGAAGACTGGGGGAGAGGAGGATGCCATGAAGGCAAAGGCTGCTCTCACTCTACATAAAACTCTCATGAGAGCCAAGAAACAAATCTGCCTTTCTTGGAAACTGACTGCATTGTGCTGCAACAGCAAAGCCTGCAGGAGTGCAGTGGGCATTCTGTCACTGTGACATCACACAGCTGTGCAGGAATGCAGTGGGCACTATGCCACAGTGACCTCACACGGCTGTGCAGGAATGCAGTGGCCACTCTGTCACTGTGACCTCACAGAGCTGTGTAGGAGTGCAGTGGGCATTCTGTCACTATGATCTCACATGGCTATGCAATGCAGTGGGCACTCTGTCACTGTGACCCCACATGGCAAGGCTGTGTGAAATCTCAGCCAGTGAATCAGAGGTGCAGGTGGGTATATAGAACCCTGACTGTGTATGGGATATAGTTAACCATGTCACCCACAGCCATCCTTCCTGATGTCTGAGGAGACACTTTTGGAGTGACACTTTCTGAAAATCTCTTCTCTTACTATGAAATAATTCAGTTGTTACTGGTGAAGGAGGTGGCTCCTTTTATATGGAATTGAGTCCTCCCTGCCAGGTCCCATCTGTCCTAGACTATCTCACTGTCACGTGGCTTCCCTGTGTCTTCTTCATTGCTTGACACAACCCTATTGTACCACTTCACAAGATGTCTGACTAATGTAAGGTTATCCATAGAGATGAACAGGTTTCTCTGCTCATCTTCAGGTCACTGAATAGCATAGGCTTGGTTGTTGAGTACCCACCACCCTAAGCTTCTTATGCAATAACTTTGTTCGTCTGTGTGTGTGTGTGTGTGTGTGTGTGTGTGTGTGTTGCTGGGGATTGAAAACAAGCCTTGTACATGCAAGGCAAGCATATTATCACTGAACAACCCCACCCAGCCTTATTATACAACTTGTAAACTAACCTTTTCAGTTGCCTGGAGAGTTTGGAGAATTCCAGGATGCTTACTTGAGGGCACACACTCACAGGGGTTTCACAAGAAGAAAACAGAGATGTCTCTCCTGCTCTCTCAGATATTTATGCCCATTCAGAAGTGGCTGGATGTTATGACAAGCCTTTGAAGGGTGACACTCGATTGGCTGGAATATTATTGCTGAGCAATGGCACAGTACAAGCAGCAGGGTGTTGATTCTAGAACAAACTCAGTTGCTGCCTGGTGACTCAGCAGCCCACGTCCTTCTGTGGGCCTCACTGTGTGCATGTTAGATTACAGCATGTCTTTTCTACCCATAACACAGAAACGTGATCATGCTACAGCATCCTTTCTTCCACACACTGTCCTAGTACAGTTTCAACCCAATTCTTTTCAAGACAGATCTGTTCACAACCCATTCAAGTCACATGCTGGTCACTAATGGGCCACAGCACACAATTCTGAGAACCAGTGGACTAATAATGGCTGCACTAAGGATGCTTCTCATTGAGTGATGTATCTTGGCTCATCAGGGCCAGAGAGCAGTGCTCTTAAAAATGTAGCTTGGGCCGGGCGGTGGTGCTGCACACCTTTAATCCCAGCACTTGGGAGGCAGAGGCAGGTGGATTTCTGAGTTCGAGGCTAGCCTGGTCTACAGAGTGAGTTCCAGGACAGCCAAGGCTACACAGAGAAACCCTGTCTCGAAAAACCAAAAAAAAAAAAAAA